CCCCCCGATTGTCAGCCGGACAAGACCCCCTGCTGGCCAAATGCAAAACACTGGTGGTCAATTCAAGGATGGTGCTCTCCTCCTGACCAATTGAGGTTCCAGTTCAGCCTGCCCCCCCCCCCCCGAACTACCCAGGGTTTGCTGTTGCCAGAAGTGCTGGACTGGGAGAAGCCAGAGACAGGGGGGGCTGTTGGCCTTTGCCAGGTGACAGAAGGAGACACTGGGAGGTCCAGCTCAGCAGCACCTGGGGACACCTGCCCAGGTCCCACCTCTGCCCAAGATCCACCGGAGAAGGCCTCTGCCTTTGTGGCCAAGAGAGGCAGGGAAGCCAGGCCCTTCCTTCACTCACTGGCCTTCATGCTGAAGCCCTCACCCCAATGACCCTCAGCTCCTTGTCTTGACCTGGTCAGCATGGGTCTGAGGGAGACCCCATTCCCTTGCCCTCTCTCCCCCTACATTGACTTTGGTTATCTGTATCTCATAGGGTGGTCCTGGACCCCTTTCCCTGGTATCGGGGGTCTTGGAGGTGTTTAGAGTACTGGGGAATCTGTTTGGCTCAGAAAGAACCCTCAGTTGGGGTGATTCCACCATAAATATAGCACAGGACCAGAAGTAAACTTCATAACCGAGATGTGGTGAAACTGGGAGCCGTTCAGCAGTGGAACTCTCTGCCCCGGAGTGTGGTGGAGGCTCCTTCTTTGGACGCTTTTAAACAGAGGCTGGATGGCCATCTGTCAGGTGATTTGAATGCAATATTCCTGCTTCTTGTCAGAATGGGGTTGGACTGGATGGCCCAGGAGGTCTCTTCCAACTCTGTCATTCTATGATTCTATGAAGCTTCTATATCTTAGGATGGATCAGGATTGCAGAGATTCTCGCTCTCTCGCTTTCTCTTTCTATCTCTCTCCCCATATGTGTGTGTTTGTGTGTGTGTGTGTAAAAGGAGTACATTCTTGATAGATAAGACCTTGGAGCCAACTAGCTTACTCAGTCTCATCTTCTAAAGTGGTAAAAGGGTAAAAAGTCCATGCAGGAATATTTTGCCTAGAGAGAGGCAAAATGCGTCCTCACTGGAAGGAAGAAAAGGCAGAAGAGAACAATGGTGGAGACCACATGGTCATCCCAGGGCAATAAAACTGAAAAAGGAAGTTCCCTCACAGAATCCCATTCCTGTGTCATTAAAGGGGGGAGGAGAGAGTGGCTAGCAGAAGGAGGAAAGACAAAGTTTGTGTTGGGAAACATTCAAGGGGAAAGGAATCATAGAGTCAAAGAATCCTAGAGTGGGAAGAGACCTCATGGGCCATCCAGTCCAACCCCATTCTGCCAAGAAGCAGGAACATTGCATTCAAAGCACTCAAATCCCTCAGCTCAACCCTGTCTCTAGCCTAGCTACTCATTGAGGACTGGAAACTTGATGACACAAGAGACTTGTGCAGCCCAGGGATGAAACCCAACACAGAGTTCACTTCCTTCGGCCACAACTCTGACCTCCTCTCCCCCCCCCCCCACTTTATTTTTCTGGTTATTTAATATTTAATGCTTATTTTACGTAAGCGATATTTGTCTTTACTGTAGCACAAATCATATTATGTATTTTTGACATTAATATTGAAATCTGGAAGGTAGAATCATAGAATCAAAGAGTTGGAAGAGACCTCATGGACCATCCAGTGCAATCCCTTGCCAAGAAGCAGGAATATTGCATTCAAATCACCCCTGACAGATGGCCATCCAGCCTCTGTTTAAAAGCTTCCAAAGAGGGAGCCTCCACCACACTCTGGAGCAGAGAGTTCCACTGCTGAACGGCTCTCACAGTCAGGAAGTTCTTCTTCATGTTTAGATGGAATCTCCTTTCTTGTAGTTTGAAGCCATAGGGCAGAGAGTTCCACTGTTGAACGGCTCTCACAGGAAGTTCTTCCTCATGTTCAGATGGAATCTCCTCTCTTGTAGTTTGAAGCCATTGTTCCCTTGCGTCCTAGTCTCCAGGGAAGCAGAAAGGAAGCTTGCTCCCTCCTCCTCCCTGTGGCTTCCCCTCATATTTATACATGGCTATCATATCTCCTCTCAGAGTGTCTGTATTTCTGTGCTCACAGGTGCCCCCCACTTGGCCAGCAGCACCTCTCTGCTCTCGGAGCGCTCGGGCAGCGGCACCAACCTGGTCAGCTTCGGTGTGAAGCCAGAGTCGTCTGGCAGCGGCGGCGGCAGCGGGATGCACCAGCGCTCCTACTCGGTCTCCAGCGCTGACCAGTGGAGCGAAGCCGTCGTCATTCCCAGCACTGGGGGCAACCCAGGTGAGTGGCACCTCTCTTCTGCTGGGGGGGGGGGGGGGGGGGGGCTCCTTCCTCTGGGTGGCAGGGCATTGGGTGACCACCGGGTCCCCCTCTACCTGGGTTTTTGGGGAGCTGCCTTTTGGTTCCATGCAATTGGCGGGTGACAAGTTAGGATGGCCACCTGACTCTTGCAGTTGTTAGAAGTATAGAATCATTGAGTTGGAAAGGGCCCTGGGGGCCCTCCAGTCTGGCCCCTTTCTCCAAGGTGAGAAGCACTCCTGGCAGATGGCCACCCAGAGAAGGAGGCTCCATTGGGTCCCCCTCCACCTTCCCCATCCCGGTACCACCTGGGTTTTTGGGGAGTTGCCTTTTGGATCCATGGAATTGGTGGGTGACAAGTTAGGATAGCCACCCGCCTCTTTTGCAGTTGTTAGAAGTATAGAATCGTAGAGTTGGAAGGGGCCCTGGGGGCCATCCAGTCTGGCCCCTTTCTCCCAGAAGAGAAGGATCAATACAAGCACTCCTGGCAGATGGCTGCCCAGAGAAGAAGGCCCCATGTTCCATTGAGTTGCTGTGACTTTTCTGGGCTATCTGGCCATGTTCCAGAAGCATTTTGTCCACATCTGTGGCAGGCATCCTCAGAGGTTGAGGCATCTTCCACTGCTGATGACAACTCCCCCCATCAGGGGTTCTGCCTCAGGCTTAGGAAGAGTGGATGTTGGGGGGGGGGGGGGTGAGGAGGAGTTTGAGGTCATGGTGGTGGTGCTCTTGGATGTGGGGCCAAGGTCAGACCTGGAGGGGAGAAAGAAGGACTCCCTTTGGAGCGGATGCCGGTGGCTGGGATGGCTGGCCATTTGTGGTCAGCGAGGGAGCCAAGTCATAGAATCCTAGAATCCTAGAAGAGTTGGAAGAGACCTCCTGGGCCATCATCCAGTCTAACCCCATTCTGCCAAGAAGCAGGAATATTGCATTCAAATCCCCCCTGACAGATGGCCATCCAGCCTCTGTTTAAAAGCTTCCAAAGAAGGAGCCTCCACCACACTCCCTCCGGGGCAGAGAGTTCCACTGCTGAACGGCTCTCACAGTCAGGAAGTTCTTCCTCGTTGGAAGAGACCTTGTGGGCCATCATCCAGTCCAACCCCTTTCTGCCAAGAAGCAGGAAAATTGCATTCAAAGCACCCCCGGCAGATGGCCATCCAGCCTCTGTTTAAAAGTTTCCAAAGAAGGAGCCTACACCACACTCCTGGGCAGAGAGTTCCACTGCTGAACAGCTCTCTCAGTCAGGAAGTTCTTCCTCATATTCAGATGGAATCTCCTCTCTTGTAGTTTGAAGCCATTGTTTCGGGTCCTAGTCTCCAAGGAAGCAGAAAGGAAGCCTGCTCCCTCCTCCTCCTCCCTGTGGCTTCCTCTCACATGTTTATACATGGCTCTCATCATATCTCCTCTCAGCCTTCTCTTCTTCAGGCTAAACATGCCCAGCTCCTTAAGCCGCTCCTCATAGGGCTTGTTCTCCATACCCCTGATCTGCTCCCTCCTCCCTGTTGGCTTCCTCTCACATATTTATACATGGCTATCATCTCTCCTCTCAGCCTTCTCTTCTTCAGGCTAAACATGCCCAGCTCCTTAAGCCGCTCCTCATAGGGCTTGTTCTCCAGACCCTTGATCATTTTAGTCACCCTCCTCTGGACACATTCCAGCTTAGAGTCAATATCTGTCTTGAATTGTGGTGCCCCGAACTGGACACAATATTCCAGGTGTGGTTTGTCTTGGGGGGCAGACACTTTTCCCCAGAGAAGGGTGGCCTACTCCGAAGACTGGGATTTCTCCTCCCCGCTCCGCTCTCCCGTTCTCTCGCCCGCCCGCCCTCCCGCTGCCTGGGTGTTCCAGGACAGTTGAGTGAATTAAAATAATTCATACATTTCCCAACGCAGCCACTTTGCTGAATTGGAAAATAAATGCTTCTGTGCGGCATCCATCACTCGGTGCTTCCTGGCCCCGCCGACGATGCCTCTGCCGCTGCCGCTGCCGCCGCTGCCGCCACCGCACTAAAAAAGCAGTTAAATGCACATCAAGAGTGGCGGAGGCATTTCCATGGCTGCGCGGCCCCTTGTCGTTCTCATTAGCGCGGCGGCGGCCCCCCCTCCGCTCCCAGGGGCTTTCGCAGTTTAAAGAGAGCCTCTTTATGATCATTACCGGAGTCCGACTGCGCCGACGCCATTTGGAGCTGGGGAGCCTCCTCATTTGTAACTGTGAAAAACTATCAATTTCAGCGCGGCTGGTGCAGCGCCTCCATCATCGGCCCCATCAGCTCCCTGCTGGAAGCGAATTAATCAGACTGTTACTGCTGATGGGGCAGAGCCAGAGCGAGAGAGAGAGAGAGAGAGAGAGAGAACGGGGGAAGGAGGAAAGGAAGGGACGGAAGAGAGGGGGGGGTGCCGGGGGCAGCCAGCCAGAGGGGTCTGGGCATTGGCCTTGGCCGGTTCGTGGGGTACCCCATGGCCCCTGGTCTCATTGGGGCAGAGGGAGCAGGGCACGACTGTCCAGAAATCGGAGGAACAAGAAGGTGGGGGATATGGGGGGCTGCCCACCCCCCCACCCCCCCAAAGTACCCATCCTCCCCCCAAAGTACCCATCCAGGTGTGGAGACCCCTCCCCATCAAGACAGCCCCTGGTCTCATTGGGGCAGGGGGAGCAGGGCACGACTGTCCAGAAATCAGAGGAACAAGAAAGTAGGGGAATATGGGGGGCTGCCCACCCCCCCAAAGTACCCATCCAGGTGAGAAGAGACCCCTCCCCATCAAGTCAGCCCCTGGTCACATTGGGGCAAAGGGAGCAGGGCACGACTGTCCAGAAATCAGTGGAAGAAGAAAGTAGGGGAATATGGGGGGCTGGGTGCCCCCCCAAAGTACCCATCCAGGTGTGAAGAGACCCCTCCCCATCGAGACAGCCCCTGGTCTCATTGGGGCAAAGGGAGCAGGGCACGACTGTCCAGAAATCGGAGGAAGAAGAAAGTGGAGGAATATGGGGGGCTGCCCCCCCCCAAAGTACCCATCCAGGTGTGAAGAGGCCCCTCCCCATCAAGACAGCCCGTGGTCTCATTGGGGCAAAGGGAGCAGGGCACGACTGTCCAAAAATCAGAGGAACAAGAAAGTAGGGGAATACAGGGGGGGGGCTGCCCCCCCAAAGTACCCATCCAGGTGAGAAGAGACCCCTCCCCATCAAGTCAGCCCCTGGTCACATTGGGGCAAAGGGAGCAGGGCACGACTGTCCAGAAATCAGTGGAAGAAGAAAGTAGGGGAATATGGGGGGCTGCCTCCCCTAAGTAGCCATCCAGGTGAGAAGAGACCCCTCCCCCATGAAGACAGCCAGCTAGGCTCCCCCTGGTCTCATTGGGGCAGAAGGAGCAAGGCATGACTGCCCAGAAATCAGAGGAAGAAGAAAGTAGGGGAATATGGGGGGGCTGTCCACTCCCCCCCCAAAGTAGCCATCCAGGTGTGAAGAGACCCCTCCCCATCAAGACAGCCCCTGGTCTCATTGGGTCAAAGGGAGCAAGGCATGACTGTCCAGGATTCAGAGGAAGACGAAAGTAGGGGAATATGGGGGGCTGCCCCCCCCCCCAAAGTAGCCATCCAGGTGAGAAGAGACCCCTCCCCATCAAGGCAGCCAGCTAGGCTCCCCCTGGTCTCATTGGGGCAGAAGGAGCAGGGCACGACTGTCCAGAAATCTGAGGAAGTAGAAAGTGGGGGAATATGGGGGGCTCCCCACCCCCAAAGTACCCATCCAGGTGCGAAGAGACCCCTCCCCATCAAGGCAGCCCCTGATCTCATTGGGGCAGAGGGAGCAGGGCATGACTGTCTAGAATTTGAAGCAGAAAGTGGGGGAATATGGGGGGCTCCCCCCCCCCAAAGTACCCATCCAGGTGAGAAGAGACCCCACCCCATCAAGACAGCCGGCTGGGCTCTCCCTGGCCTCATTGGGGCAGAGGGAGCAGGGCATGACTGTCCAGAAATAGGAGGAACAAAAAAGTAGGGGAATATGAGGGTCCATGTCAGCCCACCCCAAAGTACCCATCCTACTGAGAAGAGACCCCTCCCCATCAAGATAGCTGGCTGGGCTCCCCCAGAACTTCCTTCCATGGGACATCTGTAGCAGCCATGTTTGCACTGTAGGTTTGGAAGGGACCCCAAGGGCTATCAACTCCATCCTGCAGGAGCACACAATCCAAGCCCTCCCGACAGAGGCCCATCTGGACTTTGCTTGAAAAGCTCCAGAGAAGGAAGGCGACTCCACTGGACTCTGAGGGAGAAGAGCCCCATGAGGCTGGACTCTTGAGCCAGGCTGAAGGCTTGCACAGGCCTGGGAGCCCCCTCCCCAATCCTCAGGGCCCACCTTGGCTTCCTGCAGCTGGAGCTCCATGGAGCCAGCCGGTCAGAGGGGCCTGGGCATTGGCCTGGCCAGTTTGTGGGGCAGGGGGAGGGCATGGCCTCTGGCCTCATTGGGGCAGAGGGAGCAGGGCATGACTGTCCAGAAATCGGAGGAAGAAGAAAGTGGGGGAATATGGGGGGCTGCCCCTCCCCAAAGTACCCATCCAGGTGAGAAGAGACCCCTCCCCATGCCAGCAGCCATGTTGGGGGGGGGGGGCTCAAAAGCCCTGTGTGGCTGGACTCTTGAGCCAGGCTGATGGCTTGCACAGGCCTGGGAGCCCCCTCCCCATTCCTAAGGTCCCACCTTGGCTTCCTGCAGCTGGAGCTCCATGGAGCAAACCTCACCATGCAACTGTGGGTCCAGCGGAGGCTCCTTCTTTGGAGGCTTTTAAACAGAGGCGGGGTGGCCATCTGTCAGGGGTGATTTGATTGTGTCACTCAGCAGGAGGTCCCCGGTGCCTATTTTGGGGGCTCCTGTCTGTCAAGGGAGGCCCACCTGCCCTTAGCAGGGATACCATTCAGACGATGACTGGGGGGGGGGGAGGGGGCATTGGAAGAGGCGCCCCCCCTCCTGCCTCAGGGCTTCCTTGCTTCCAGGGCTTTGGGGGCTCTTCTGTAATGGTGCCCCCATTTGTGGGCTTCTTTGCCCCCCTCCCCGGCTCGCTCTTCCCCTGAGAAGCCCTTTCTGCCCCCTTAGGCTTGGGGGGCTGTTCCAGGTCCCACCCATTTGCTGGCCTTGGCTTCTGAGGTGGGGGGTCTGGAGTGCATTCCCCCCCCCCAAGCAAAGCACCCTGATCCAAGCCCCGCTTGTCCTCCTCCTGAGTTTGGGCTGGGCCTTGAGTGATGGGGGGGGGCTGTCGGAGTGCGGGGGGGGGGGGCTTCCGCAGCCTGTTGATTGGGAGCAGAGGCACGCGGCTCCGCGGCTGGAATTGAATGTCATCCTTCTGATTTTGTTGCTGGTCTCTAATGAAATTTGACATTTAATGGAGAGAAGCACGGCGGCGCCTCGCCTGTGTGAGAGTGCGTGCGTGCGTGCGTGCGCCCGTGTGCGATCGGAGCTTGATTAGTGCGCTCTAATTGACAGTAATTAGCCAGCTCCCTGATTGTTTCTAATTCTGCTATTAATTGTAAGGAACAGTATGATTGAGGATAAATTTGGCGCATGGCAGCCAGCCGGGATATGACGACGGAGGCTCTTCAGCGCCACCGAGGGCGGGGGGCGGCGGAGCAGGAAGGGGAGGGTGGGGAGGCGGAGGGGGCCTGGCCCAAAATGGGGGGGAGGGGAGCAGGAGAGGAGGGGGCCTGCTCCCCCCCCTTTCTGCAAAGGCACTTTTGGCCAGGCTGGGCTTCTGATCTGGGAGAGGAAGGGGGCCGGATCCCTGGTTGATCTCTGGTCAGTCCACCGGTCAGCTGAGGACTGTCAGCCAAGGACCGGTCAGCAGAGAGCCATGACTGACCCCTCTTTTTTCTCCCTCCCTCTCCTCCCTGTCAGGCTGGGCTTCTGATCTGGGGGAGGAAGGGGGCCGGATTCCTGGTTGATCTCTGGTCAGTCCACCGGTCAGCCAAGGACCAGTCCTCCAGCCAGCCAAGGACCGGTCAGCAGAGGGCCATGACTGACCCCTCTCTTTCTCCCTCCCTCCCCTCCCCGTCAGGCTGGGCTTCTGATCTGGGGGGAGGAAGGGGGCCGGATACCTGGTTGATCTCTGGTCAGTTGACCGGTCAGCCGAGGGCCGGGCCGTGACTGACCCCTCTCTTTCTCCCTCCCTCCCCTCCCTCCCCGTCAGGCTGGGCTTCTGATCTGGGGGGAGGAAGGGGGCCGGATACCTGGTTGATCTCTGGTCAGTTGACCGGTCAGCCGAGGGCCATGACTGAGCCCTCTCTTTCTCCCTCCCTCCCCTCCCTCCCTGTCAGGCTGGGCTTCCGATCTGGGGGGAGGAAGGGGGCCGGCTGCCTGGTTGATCTCTGGTCATCCTGACTGACCCCTCTCTTTCTCTCTCCCCCCCACAGCCAATGGTGGCGGGGGCACAGTGGACTCCCTGAGCTCCAGCCCCAACGTCTCCAGTGCGGCCAGTCCCAAGCTGGAGCCCCCGCCCTCCCCGCACGCCAACCGGAAGAAGCACCGGCGGAAAAAGAGCACCGGCTCCACGCGGCCAGAGGGGGGCGGCACCGCGGCCGAAGGTACCTTTCCCAAGGCAACTGGGGGCCGGAGGGGGGGGGTCCCCTCTCTCTCTCTCTGCCACTTTCCTTCTGCAGCCACTTTGATTTGAGGGGGAAGCACATGGGGCAGGAGGGGCTGAGGACCAGTGCTGGATGCTGCCCCCCCGCCACAGTCAAGGGAGGGGTCTGCCCCACCTCAAAAACCCAGAAGAGCCCCACCTCTGCCCTGTGAAGCCCCATGTCCCCCCCCCCATGGTCCTGCTACATATACATACAAAAAGACCTTTGTGTGAATGGGTGGCACTCTTCACATGCTCAGGAGACCCCAGCAATAGGGAGGGAAGGAGGTGGGTGGCTCTCTTTGCCCTTAGTGGGGGCAAGGGGCTCTTCCTCTATTTACCCTGCAATCTCTCTGACCCCCTCCCCCATTTCCCCCAGGACCCTTCAGGACCAGTGCACTCCTCCTCCCCCCCACCCAAGGGGCAAACGGGCATGGCTCTTGGGGCAGGGGGGGAGCTCAGGTTGGCACCTCGGTTGGAAGGAAGGAGGGAGGGAGGGGCCTGGGATGAATTGCCACCCGTTTATCTCGTTTAGGAGGTAATCAGAGGCAGGACGTGCTGCGCAATTGAATCTTCCTGGCTCTGAAGGATCATAAATCATGCGCAGAGCGTGGCTTCTTTACAGGACGCGTCTAAAAGGGGGGAGAGCACGGCCAAAGAGCGCGTGGCGGCCAAGGCCTGTTGCATGACAACCCTGCGGGCGGGCCGCTGACCGGTCCAGTCTGGCTCACCTTTGGTAGAGAGGCAGGGGCTCAAGGGGGGGCAGGAAGCATGCCTCAACAGGACAGATCCAGAGATGCCTCCTCTCCACCTCTGCGGAGCTCCCTTCTGCCGCCCCCTCCCCAAGGGAAAGACTGCACATTGAAGCCCCCCAAGAGCATTTTGGGCAACTGAGCCTGAGAGATCAGTGCCACAGTGTCACTCCCCAGACCTCTGGAGATGAAGCCCCTTCCCCACCTATGTGTCCCGTTGGAGATGCCCCCCCATCAGCCTCTTGGGCTCACCCTCCCTCTTGCAAAGCTGCCCCCTTTCTGCCGCCCCCTCCCCAAGGGAAAGACCACGTTGAAGCCCCCCAAGAGCATTTTGGGCAACTGAGCCTGAGATATCGGTGCCACAGCGTCACTCCCCAGACCTCTGGAGATGAAGCCCCCTCCCCACCTGTGTGTCCTGTTGGAGATTAAGCCCCCTCCCCATCAGTCTCTTGGGCTCGCCCACCCTCCTGCAAAGCTTTCCTGGCGCCTCAAAAGGCTTCGAAGTGCTTCTCCATCTTGTGGGTGCCAGGAGTTGTCCCCCCCCCCTCAAGTGCCATAACCCACTGCTGCAGGGCCTGTGGGCGCAGAGGAGGAGACCCCCCCCTTTTGCCGGTGGGTCTGCCGCTCTGGCTGCTGTTTGCCTGGGAGGCGGAGGGGGCCGGTGGGGGCCCTCCCTGATGCGCTCATACAGGTTAGGAATATTGGGTTTAATGAGCTGCAAAATGAGGCGGCAGCGGCAGCGCGGTGACAGATACGAATGGCCCCCGCCTGGAGCGCCACGCACGGCTTGGAGGGAGGGGCTCTTCAGCAACCGGGGGGGGGGCAGCTTCCTCTTGACTATGGAGGGGAGGCACAGGGGGAGTGGGTGAGTGGCCAGAAGCAGTGCAGCCAAGACCCCCGAGTGGGAAGGGGTCTCCGTCCCCCACTGCACCGCTTTTGAGGGGAGGGCTTGGACCGGGGGCTGCTGCTGTCAGTCATGGCAGCCTTGGCGCTTCTGCTGGGGAGGGGGAGGCTGCCCACTCTCTCGCCCGCTGCTCCCCGGTGCCCTGGCTAATTTCCCCCTCATTTGGAGGCTTGTTGCGCCGGAGAAGGGGTTGCGGGGTTAACACCCATTAACAGCCGTGGCCGCCGGTGCGCGGTCCTCCGAAGCGCCGACATCATCAAGAAGCCATCAGGCGGCTGCCGACACTCGCTCTTCCGCTGCCCACTCGGCCGCAGTGCCCACCACGCACCAAACCTCCCCCCCTCCTCAGCGCAGCCCCCCCCCCAAGTTGAGATCCAGGGAGGGGCCCTCCTTCGTCTCTGCAACAGCCCCTCCTTGCCGCTCCTCAAATTAGCCAAGTGCTCCTCTAATTTCTCAGTTGGTCAGTCACTGAGCTAATGAGTTGGGGGGGAGCGCTGCCCGCCCGGCCCAGAGGAATGCTCTGAAATCGGGGAGGGGGGAGGATGGAGCCCCGCTCTCTCAAGGAAGCTCTTCCATTTGGCATGCCTACAGAAGCACACAAGGCCCTCCTGGCCCCATGGCATCACCGGGGGGGGGGGGCAGTCAGGAGGGGAAGGGGGGTGCTCAAAGGATTGGGTCCTCTGGTTTTTTTTTTGGTCCCTTAAGAGGCCCGCCATGGCCCCGTCGGGGTTTCCCTTCCTAGGGAATTGTCAGGTACAAATATGTGGTTCATGGAGCACCTCCCACTTCAGCAGAAGCAGACTGCTGTCCGCAGGCATGTAGCCAGGAGGGAGGCTTGAGGGGCTTCAGCCCCCCCCCCCAAATTCTCAGGGTGGTCTGCAAGAAGGCCTTACTGGTACATTATTTAAACTATTATGTTTATTCATATCATGATCAATATATCCCATATGCAAGGGGCTATTGGGATAATGATACAAAAGGTTTGCTAGGGTAGATCCTCTCTCACTCAGACCCCGCCCCCCCCAAAAAATCAAACTCAGCCCCCCCCCCAATCAAAATCCTGGCTACAGGCGGGGGGGGGGGCAATCAGCTAAGACCCTCTCTCTCTCTCTGTGTCTCTCTCTTCCCCATTACCCCCCCTACAGAGCAAGACGAGTCCTTTGAGTTCGTCCTGGTGTCACTGACCGGTCAGTCCTGGCTCTTTGAAGCCTCCACGGCGGACGAGCGGGAGCTCTGGGTCCAGGCCATCGAGAGCCAGATCCTGGCCAGCCTTCAGGGCTGCGAGAGCAGCAAGAACAAGGTGGGCCAGGGGCAGGGTGGGGGGTGATCTGGGGTGGGGAGTCCGGTCAAGGCTGTAGACGCTCTCTGGCCTCTTTAGCACTCGGAGCAGGCAAGAGTGCCTCTGAGCATTCCTCAGTCTGTTCAGCAGGGAGCAGACCCATCAGGGGATCTCATAATGTGGCAGTGAGGAGGGGGGCTCAGTTCTCCCCCCCCCCCCCCCCACGTACACACACACACATCACATAGAGTTACATCTCATGGTGTTTGGTGGTAGTGGGGGGTTCGGAACTGAAGGTGGGTGAAGGGAGACCCATGCCCCCTAATACCCCCCCCACACACACACACACACATGTTACATAGAGTGACATCTCATGGCGTTTGGTGGTAGTGGGGGGTTCGGAACTGAAGGTGGGTGAAGGGAGACCCATGCCCCCTAATACCCCCCCCCCACACACACACACACACATGTTACATAGAGTGACATCTCATGGTGTTTGGTGGTAGTGGGGGGTTCGGAACTGAAGGTGGGTGAAGGGAGACCCATGCCCCCTAATACCCCCCCCACACACACACACACACATGTTACATAGAGTGACATCTCATGGCGTTTGGTGGTAGTGGGGGGTTCGGAACTGAAGGTGGGTGAAGGGAGACCCATGCCCCCTAATACCCCCCCCACACACACACACACACACACACGTCACATAGAGTGACATGTCATGGCGTTTGGTGGGAGTGGGGGTGCAAAACAGAAGGTGGGTGAGGGGAGATCCATGCCCCCTAATAACCCCCCCCACACACACACACACACATGTTACATAGAGTGACATCTCATGGCGTTTGGTGGTAGTGGGGGGTTCGGAACTGAAGGTGGGTGAAGGGAGACCCATGCCCCCTAATACCCCCCCCCCACACTGACAGTCTAGGGGTGGGGCTCTCTTTCTTTCAGGCTCGACTGGGGGGACGCGGGGACGCTCTCGCTCTGCAGTCCATCCGCACGGTTCGAGGGAACAGCTTCTGCGTGGACTGCGATGCCCCCAGTGAGTGCCCCCCCCCCCCCCCAGAATGAATGAAGGTGGCCATGGGAGGGGCCCAGGGCTGGTTTTCCAAAAGGGATGCTGCCCCTCCCTGTGTTTCCCTGCGGGGGAGGGTACGCTTGGGTCTTACCTCCCCTTCCCCCCCCCCCCCACAGACCCCGATTGGGCCAGCCTGAACTTGGGGGCCCTGATGTGCATCGAGTGCTCGGGCATCCACCGCCACCTGGGCACCCACCTCTCGCGCGTCCGTTCCCTGGACCTGGACGACTGGCCGATGGAGCTGGTCATGGTGATGACGGCCATCGGGAACGCGCTGGCCAACTCCGTCTGGGAGGGGGCCACTGAGAACTACCCCCGCCCAACGCCCGACAGCTCCAGGTATGTTGATAGTATCATAGGATGCTCATGTGAGGCTGCCCTGAGTCCCCCTTGGGTAGAAATGCATGGAATAAAATAAATAAATAAATATACCTCCAGCCACGGGGGCCACTCCCTGGGGGGGGCTTCCCCTTCCTTTCTCCCATCCCAAGGCCTTTCCTGACCCACCTGCCTGCCAATGGGGAGCCAATGGGGAAGGGGCTCGGGACCAGCAGGGAGCCTCCCCCTCATGTCCAGGAGTGGAGAGGAAGGGGTTAACAAGTGAGGCGCTGGGAGGACCGAGGGGGCTGCCTCCCCTGTCCCCCTCCCCACTCAATGCCTGTCACTCACTCGTCAGCCGTGGACACCCAGACAAGAGGCCTTTTCTGCGCTCCCTTATCAGCGGATAAGAGCGGGTCAGGGGCCAGCAGGCGCTGCGCATGCTCCTCCGCCGGCGCATTGATGGCGCTGGGCCAGAGGCAGATGGACAGAATGGGCGGCAGATAGCGGGGTGCCGGCGGCATCGATCGGGGGCCCCTCGGCACCAGCGCCTTTGTGCCGAAGGAGAGATGCCAGCCGCGATACCAGCACCGCTACCACTCTCCTCTGCTTCCTGTCCTCCTGCTCGTCTCCCACAACATCCCACACACACACTGGCTGGCCTTTCCTGGGGGTGGGGGGGGTGCGCATGGGGACGAAGCACCAGCAGCCCCCCTCACCTGAGGGTTCCCCAGAGCCCTGCATGACGCACTGCTGTTTCTCTTCCCCCCCCCCTTCCGTAGGGAGGAGAAGGAGCGCTGGATCCAGGCCAAATACGAGCAGAAGCTCTTCCTGGCTCCTCTGCCACTCTCGGACGTCCCGCTGGGCCAAACGCTGCTCCGGGCCGTGGTGGAGGACGACCTGCGGGCCGTAGTCACGCTCCTGGCGCACGGGTCCAAGGAGGAGGTCAACGAGACCTATGGGGACGGCGACGGACGGACGGCCCTGCACCTCTCCTGTGCCATGGCCAACGTGGTCTTCACGCAGCTCCTCATCTGGGTAAAGGGACCCCCTCCCCCTAAATAATGGGACGCAAGACAACCTGCCCCCTGACCCCTCCACCCCTTGACTTCTGCTGACCGGTCCCCTTTCGTTCTCTCTCTGCCCGCAGTACGGAGTGGACGCCAAGAGCCGGGACGCCCGCGGCCAGACCCCCCTCGCTTACGCCCGCCGCGCCGGCAGCCAGGAATGTGTGGACATCTTGCTGCAGCACGGGTGCCCCAGCGATGCGGCCGGGGGAGGAGGGGGACCCCCCGGCACCCTGACCCCCAGCCTGCCCCGCCGCAACGCCAACAACAACGCCGCCTCCGGCCCCCTCTGCCCCGAGGGACCCTGACCTCCAAGGCCCCCCCATTGACCCGCAGCCAGAGCTGGCAAGAAGCAGGGGCAGACCCCCCTCCCTCCCAACATGGCGCCCAAGGACTTGTGGGGTGGCTGGGTGACCCCTTTTGCACCCCATTTGGGGGGGGGAGGCCCTGGAAGAAAGGGAAGTGGGGCCACATGGGCCCCTGAAGAAAGGGAAGCCCCCCCCCCCGCTCCATGGCTCACTGTTTGTAGCAGAAGCCCCCCTTTGTGTCCCCCTCCCCCGGGGCTACAGCAGCCCTTCTGGGCCAGTCTGGGGGCTCACTGGCTGACCCCTCCCCACAGACCCGTCTTAGGTGCTGCTTCTTCCCGCAGGCCCCTCCCCGCCGTCCCCTGTGTATAAAATGTACATTGGAAATATTTATATGATAGTATGTAAATAAGGGTCCTTGGCCGTCTGCCTCTGTGTGTCCGAGCGAGTGAGTGTGCCCCCTTGACCTTTGACCTGCGGCCTCGGAAGAGAAGCTGCCCAATAAAGACTCTGCCACTTGGCCGGATGGTGCTGCGTGCACTTGGGTTGCCTCCGTCGGGTTGGGTGGGGTAAGTGGGGGGGGGGGGCTGGCAGAGTGACCAGGAAGGGGCTGCCCACTCGTCCCCCTGCAGTTGGGGGCTCCATGAGATTGATGTGGATGCCTCCCCCCCACCACCACTTGGTATCATGTCCCCTGGGGAGGATCCCACCCTCCTCTCTGTAATCCCCCCCCCCCCATTGCAAAGCTGGGCTTGGAAATGTGCATCCACCTCCAACTTCCATTGGGCTTCAGTGCAATCCATCAACTCTTCTGGACAGCCATTAGTGAGGAGTGTTGGGAGCTGTAGTCCAGGCACCTCTGCTGGCACCTCATAAGGCCACACCTTCCTGGATGGAAGCCTGAGCACATACATGTACATACATGCACATATTGCTGCTCTCTCTCTGGGACAAGACCACACAGTGGGGAGACTCCCCCTCCCCTTTCAAAGGACCCTGCTCTTCTCTTTTTTGGGTGGCACCCAGGGAAGGGGGTCATAATACAGTAGGGGCAGGCATTGGGGGGGGGGGTCTCAATCTACTACAGCCTCTCACTTGGAGACACTTGTAGAGAGGGCTGTTGGGGTGCAGGCATGGCAGGGGGTGATAAGGAGGGCATGGATTATGAATCTNGGGGGGGGGGGGGGGGGGGGGGTCCTATTTATTTATTTATTTACGACATTTCTATGCCGCCCTTCTCACCCCGAAAGGGGACTCAGAGCGGCTTACAAGTAAAAAGTAAATACAATATATTATATTATTACCATTGCACAATATTAATATTATATATTGCACTAGCCGTCCCCTCCCATGCGTTGCTGTGGCCCACATGGGAGTTCTGTGTGGGGGGTTTGGCCCAATTCTATCGTCGGTGGGGTTCAGAATACTCTGTGATTGTAGGTGAACTATAAATCCCAGCAACTACAACTCCCAAATGTCAAGGTCTATTTTCCCTAAACCCCACTAGGGTTTACATTTGGGCATATTGAGAATTTGTGCCAAGTTAGGTCCAGATCCATCCTTGTTTGAGTCCACAGTGATCTCTGGATGTAGGTGAACTACAACTCCAAAACCAAAGGACACTGCCCACCAAACCCTTCCAGTATTTTCTGTTGGTCATGGAAGTGCTGTATGCCATGTTTGGTTGAATTCCATCATTGGTGGGGTTCAGAATGCTCTTGGATTGTAGGTGAACTATAAATCCCAGCAACTACAACTCCCAAATGTCAAAATTCTATTTTTACAACTTGCAATGCTAGGAAGGGACCCCAAAGGCCATCCAATCTGACCTCCTTCCAGGCCTTTCTGAAGAACCAGCTTCTGTTTATGCAACTCTGCCGGACTCCCAGGCAGCAAGGGCAGCATCAGGAGCAGATCCCACACACAAGGATTCAATAGGAGGAACCTCTCCTTGTCATGTGAACTGATTCCTCCAGGCAATGGACTCTGGAGCGGCATTGAAAACAGGCTTGCAACACATACACACAAACACACACGACACCCTTTCATAGAATCCTAGAGTTGGAAGAGGCCATCCAGTCCAATTCCATTTTGCCAAGAAGCAGGAAGATGGCTACCCCATAATGCCTACCTCAGTCTGTGAGGCCTTCTCACATTATATTATATTATTAGAATAGCACAGGAGACAAGGCGGAACTGTCTTCCTGGCCCCCTCTCTCTTCACTCCGGCCCAGAGCAGCAGTAATTGTAATATCATATTATTATTAGAAGTAGAAGTAGAAGTAGTATTATGATATTGCGTTACATTATAATATTGTAAATATTATATGTATATACAATATATTATATTACTTTATATTATTGGAATAGCACAGGAGACAAGGTGGAACTGTCTTCCTGGTCCCCCCCCCCCCTTCTCCACTCTGGTCCAGAGCAGCAGTAATTATAATAGCATATCATTAGTAGTAGTAGTATATTGCATTACATTATAATATTATAAATATTATATGTATATACAATATATTATATTA